GTGACGAGCAGCTCTCCTGCAGGCCGTCACGGCCGCCCTCGGAACTGTTCCCTGTTCTGAACCTCGCTCATCTTTGCGAACATCGCGATGGCTGACAGCGAATTTGAGGAATTCCGGCACTATTTCGAGAGGCTACCCCAACATCTGAAGGCACCGCTGTCCAACTACACGTGAGTACCCTCGTAGCGGACCTGCCTTCGGAACAGATGACACGATATGCGATATGATAAGAACCACAGCGGTGACACACATAGGTCGCGACAAGAAAGACGGTGGTCGAGAATCAGACCGAGAAGATTTTGGACGGAAAATCAGGAGCACGAATTATGAAGATCAATTCAGGAATTCATTAGAAACTGAAAAAATGTATCGCGAATCAAATCTTGACTGTATTTGGCGAAATATGAAAGGTGTGATAATGTAGATTGTAAACAGCAAACTATGTTGATAAGATCGAAAGTTGATGAACGGGAATATTTGAAAAATATTTGTGTATTTTTGTAATTCCAGATATGTTATAAAATGACGAAATTAAATAATCTGATTAAAATTAATTTAATGGACTGATTTTAATAAATGATAAAATAGAATCTTCAATCGAAATTGATTAAATTCAAAAAGTCAATAATTTAAATGTCGTTTCAAGATGAGTCATTTTAAATAAAAATTTCTCATGTCACTAAGTAACTTAATGTGACATCCTTTAATGCTCCTACTTTTGTATTATCATAAAACATTTTGATTTAAGACATATTATATGTTTCTATGTAAATATAACAGTCTAGAATTTTCTTCTAGATAAGACGTCTTATATACATATATATATAGTATATAAGATAGCACTATAGAGTATTCAAGAATGTGAGAGCTATACGAGAGCAACGTTACCGTCTGGTCGTTTCCTATTTCTATTTAGAATAATGATAAAACGTTGCTGCACTATGCATATAGTGTTGCATAAAGTGCACAAACATTCTGGTATGTACATTCGTGTCACTACTCAAGGGACTCATAAAATAGCATGGTAAAATGAGGTTTCCTGAATGCATCCGATGCACTACTAGGCCGAAAAAGTTATAAAATCGCCAAGTCGCGCATCGGCATTATGTCTTTAAAATTATTGATCCTGGAACATAAGTGACACAAGAATACGAATACGATGTGAGACTGCAATGCGATGTACGTATAGACAATTTTGATGGGTGTGATCTACTTTCGTTGATGCATACATATGTATATGTTATTTCTATTATCACAAATAACCGATGATCCTATTTAGATTGTATATTAGAGCGTTATATTAGCGTAAGATGTAATTACATAACTTTGCTTATAGCAATTGCTTATAAATGTAAAGCGTGATTTACACAGGGCGACTTTTATTCGCTAGAAGCCGCGTCTAATGACGTCATAGCGAATTCGCTACTAAAAATTTCTTCTAGACGTGGATTTGTTCTTATAGCGTATAGTCGCGACGAATACTGCTTTCGACGCTTGTCGCCAGCTTATCGCTGGCTTGTCACTAATTTCTTGCTGTTCCTCCAGAGCGAATTTTTAAATCGACAGCGTGAAAATTTTTCCGAAACGCCTCGGCCACTCAGATCATAAATATCAGAGAATAATGTCATCGAATGACATACTTCGAGCTGTTATTGTGCTTTGTGACCAACTATTCGCTTAATCACTAGAGACCACTTAACGCTGCGACTTCAAAATTTTAATCGCTAGCGAATAAAAACCAAGCGTGTACAAGAAGCTTTCATCAGCGAATTCGTGGACGAATTAAGAAACTTGCTTCAAGCAAACAATAGCAGAGTCAAGAGAATTCACTGACGAATTAATGACGTCACTAAATGCGGCTTCTAGCGAATAAAAAGTCATCCCGTGTGAAATCACGCTTAACATAATTACGTACTTTGATCGCATTAAACATGAGATTTAGATCATCCTAATGAAAATGTATATATTTCAGACTCATAAATAGAAAAATAATATAAACAATACACATAATTACGAACGCGTTTTCTATCATTCAAAAAAATGTGGTAATATATTTGATAACAAAGAATACGATTTTTCCATATTATTTACATTTTTGTATAGTCTTTTGTGCTTTACATTAAATCGTATATAATAGCACACGTATTATAGAACACGTATTATAGAATTATTCAGAATGGATATTTCTAATCGAATTATTCCGTTTTTCTAGAAATTAGAAATCTAAGGAATAATTAAATAATTCTAAATCCATTCCTAACAATTTCATATTCTGATTGCAAATATGTTTGCAATAAATTAAACGTATCACTGTTCACAGTTGATTCTATAAAAATAAAGTAATATCAATAAGTGACAGTCTCGCATTTGCAACTCCGATTTAATTTTCAATCTAATTTGATCACATTTATAAACACAGTGAGAAAACAGGGGCCTTCTCTCAATTAATATCTGCATAAAATCTATTTAAATGCAATTTTTATGATTCAAGATGAATATGTAACTGAATGCGAAATATACTCATTTGTCAATATAACGCAAACATTCCCTTTCTTCTGAAAAGTGTTTGAAAAAATAGACATGCTTCTAAAGAGAATTTCGACATTACAATATTCTTAAATCATTCTTTCAGAAATGAAATTTTATTCTGTTGTATGAATAAGATACAAGTGTTATTTGCAATTTTCGCTTTTTAATAATAATGAATTAATTATCATGAACATGATATATAGAATTATTTGTATTTATACATATATACTTATTTACATAATAAATGGAGCAATAAACAAAACTAAAGAGATACAATAAGGAAAAATATTTATATTTTTAAATTCTTAATTTTGATAAATAACTTTTGTACTATTATCGTCAAATCGCTAGAAGAAGTTTTATCAATTTTATTTTATATGTAATTACTATTGATATTATATTATTGGTAAGGTTTTGATTCATTATTATTTTTTATTAAAAATTAAAAAAGATTTAAATACTAAGATTTACTATTAATTTGCAATAATTGCACATATTATTTATAGAAAATAAATTAATCATTATCTGTTATTATTATATTTTGCCTTCTCGTATAATTAGAAAAACGACATGTCAGATGCAGTTCATGTATTTTTTATTACCTCTATATGGCTATGTTCATAATTTTCATGTAACTTTCGCGTATTTAACATTTGAATAGGCTCGTACATGATGTGATGATCGATGACTCGCCGACATCCTCGCAAGGAAGCGATGGAGAGGTCGGCAGATCTTGCGACGTCGTCACCGGCGATTCCGAGGACGAAGAAGTCGTCGTCATCCATCGTCACGACAACCAAAGCGGGCACACCACTCCTGATGATAGTGAGGAGCTGGATCATCATTGCTCCATCATAGCTGACAGCGATTTTAGGTTGGTAACGTCGTAAGTGTTTATTTCTTTATCACTAATTATTACCTTTGGAAACTTTTAATACGAAGGAAAGATTAGCGAAGAGTTTTATTTTTTATTGATACTAACTTGTATAAAACTTATAATACGTTGAATATTATATACTAACTTATTATATACTAACTTATTATATACTAACTTGTATAAAATTTAATATCTTAAATATTGTATTTTAATAAAAAATATACGAATTCGAGGCAGGAGGACAAAAAATATTTAAGAAATTTAGAGCGGGAGATAAAAAAATGAGTTCACAGATTTATTAAAAGGAACAGAATATTTGCGGCAATTTAAGTTCTCGCCGAAAACAGAATTACATTCTTTGCAGAGGGAGGGAACTTCTTTCATAGAATATTTTTGTGACAAGTACAACGAGTTTCTGTTACAATTATTATAATTTATACTATGTTTCGCTTATATCATAAGTTTTCAGATGCAATTGTACTGCATCATTAATCTGCGCGTCGGTATCACCCACACACAGAGCGACGTGCATCATCGCATCCATAGTAATCTACAGTATAGTATTGCTGTAATCTCATCGGTCTGACCTTGTTAAAAATATCTGAAGCTTTTAGAAATAGTCTCCGGGAGAGTTCGCGACGTGCAGCGTTGCTCGTAATTATTAATTAAGCGTCGCCCAACCATAGCGGTTGGAAACTGTGTTGCATGCGGAGAATAATTGACGCGCATTAATATGGCATTTTTTGAATTTTTAATACTTTCTGAAGATTCTAATTATGCGTGGGTTTTCGTACCTATCTTATCTATCTGCTACGTCAAATATTAATTTAAAGTCTTCTATATCACATAGCAATTATATACATACTAAGAAAATTTAAATCTTTTGATTATTTTTATTAAAATAAATAATACTGTTGTATAGCAAAGAATCCAAATTGCATATTACATACATCCTACAATTTTATATACCTATTTTAATGCGATAATTTGTATTATTCAAATTTTATTGTT